CTCCCAGTTTCTCCCAGTTGCTCCCAGTTGCTCCCAGTTGCTCCCAGCTGCTCCCAGCCGCTTCCAGGTGCCCAGGGGTGGGTGTGCTGTGAGTGCCACCCCTGGGTCCCGCTGAATCCCAGTTGCTCCCAGTTTCTCCCAGCTGCTCCCAGCTGCTCCCAGTTGCTCCCAGTTTCTCCCAGTTTCTCCCAGTTGCTCCCAGTTGCTCCCAGTTGCTCCCAGCTGCTTCCAGGTGCCCGGGGGTGGGTGTGCTGTGAGTGCCCACCCCTGAGTCCCGCTGAATCCCAGTTGCTCCCAGTCTCTCCCAGTTTCTCCCAGTTTCTCCCAGCCGCTCCCAGTTTCTCCCAGTTTCTCCCAGTTGCTCCCAGTTGCTCCCAGTCTCTCCCAGCTGCTCCCAGCTGCTTCCAGGTGCCCAGGGGTGGGTGTGCTGTGAGTGCCACCCCTGGGTCCCGCTGAATCCCAGTTGCTCCCAGTTTCTCCCAGTTGCTCCCAGTTGCTCCCAGTTCCTCGCAGCCATTCCCAGTTGCTCCCAGTTGCTCCCAGCCGCTTCCAGGTGCCCAGGGGTGGGTGTGCTGTGAGTGCCCACCCCTGGGTCCCACTGAATCCCAGTTGCTCCCAGCTGTTCCCAGTCTCTCCCAGTTTCTCCCAGCCGCTCCCAGTTTCTCCCAGTTTCTCCCAGTTGCTCCCAGTTTGTCTCAGTTGCTCCCAGTCTCTCCCAGTTGCTCCCAGTTTCTCCCAGTTGCTCCCAGTCTCTCCCAGTTGCTCCCAGTTGCTCCCAGTCTCTCCCAGTTGCTCGCAGCCGTTCCCGGGTGCCCGGGGGTGGGTGTGCTGTGAGTGCCACCCCTGTGTCCCGCTGAATCCCAGTTTCTCTCCCAGTTTGTCCCAGTTGCTCCCAGTCTCTCCCAGTTGCTCGCAGCCGTTCCCAGGTGCCCGGGGGTGGGTGTGCTGTGAGTGCCCACCCCTGGGTCCCGCTGAATCCCAGTTGCTCCCAGCTGTTCCCAGTCTCTCCCAGTTGCTCGCAGCCGTTCCCAGTTTGTCCCAGTTGCTCCCAGTCTGTCCCAGTTACTCGCAGCCGTTCCCGGGTGCCCGGGGGTGGGTGTGCTGTGAGTGCCCACCCCTGGGTCCCACTGAATCCCAGTTGCTCCCAGTCTCTCCCAGTTGCTCCCAGTCTCTCCCAGTCTGTCCCAGTTGCTCGCAGCCGTTCCCGGGTGCCCGGGGGTGGGTGTGCCGGCCGTGCCCCCCCCCGGGTGCCCCCCTGACCCCTGGCTCTGCCCCGGGCAGGTGTCCTGGCGCTCTGGGCCCTCCTGACCCATGTGATGTATGTGCAGGATTACTGGAGGACCTGGTTAAAGGGCCTCAGGTTCTTCCTCGGCGTCGGGATCTTCTTCTGCGCCCTCTCCCTGCTGGCATTCGGGGCCTTCCTCGCCATGGCCATCACCCAGCACCAGGGTCAGCGCGGGGGGCACTGGGATGGGGCGCTGGGGGCACTGGGAGGGGGTGCTGGGGACACTGGGGGCACTGGGATGGGGCGCTGGGGGCACTGGGAGGGGGT